CATGCCAAACATAGCATCATTTTACAGTATGGTTTACAGCTGATACAACTGATACAGTTATTAATATGGGTTGGCTTGTAAATGTGTTTGTGTTGAAATGGCTTGAGCAACAATGTTGAACATCAATTTCGCTGTTTAAAAAGTTGCTCAAGCCATTATACAACAACCAAGACCATTAAAAATGGACATTTATGCATTTATTATGTATTTAGTGTTGTTGCAACTCGACATATTACACGTCTTGATAGTGTGTTATATATCTCAACGACACTTGATCAGTCGGTAGTTTGTGGCAAATAATGAATTAGAGTGGTGTTTTGCTCTGTTTACAGATTGTTTGGCATTTGATTATTTAGTGTAGTGTGGTTAATATCGGTCAGACAGTGTAATACACACTGATTGAATATCAAATACAACACTGGTGACAATATGAACACACATGCTTGTCAGTTTCAACCGTATCCTAGATATCAACCAAGTTTTGTCCAACAAACTTTGTACAAGTGTCGTGCAGTGTGATGGTAAATTGTCTGATGACAACGATATACGTTTTTTGATGACTTGTATTTGTAACTTTTGAACGATTTGTGGTTGAGATCTGCATGTTTACAGTCTTTTACCGATCTTTTGAAAAAAACATGGTTTGACTGCATGACAATGTCAAATCCAAAATTGCATTTGGAGACAAATTGCCACCAAACATACTATATATATGCATGGATAATGCCATGACTGATATTCAGGGTATTCATGATACAAGCATCAATGCTGGTTTATTGGATGCAATTGCAGCAGCTGGTGTCAAATATTCAGACTGGGATTCAACAAGATGCGACCTAATTGTCAGATCAATGATTTTGAAAATATATAGTATTTTCAAACCCAACACATTTTGGATTTGGTGGACTGACTACAATCAAGACCATAACACTGTTCAACAATCACAGACTCGATGCCAACGACACGCATGCAGTATATGATTTGTAGTTTTGTAAAAGTTCCGTCTCGTGAATGTGGTGATATTGTTGACCTCGCGAGCAATCACTCTAAACTATACGACTATTTTTACAATGGAATTGATGCCAATATACATGCTTGTCAACACAATAGTTTTTGGATGATTTTGACAACATTTGGATGTGGCATTGAATTGGTTATAACATCAAAACCAACAGCGATAGTATCTTGGATCATGACTCGTCCAAAAGTTGTGCAGATTGTGCGAATCGATTTTCAAAACATATATTGATTGATTATTATAGCTGCCAACACTGATGAATTAGCAACAACCAACTTGGCGGTGACTTGTCAATGACTTGTCAGCAGTTTGGAGTGATTTTGATGATTTGGATTATATGATTTGTAATATTTATCGAGTAAGCTTGTTGGCCAGCTGTAACGACCAATGATGAT